AGTCTCTTCCAGGAAAGACTATGTCGTCAAGATTAAGTTACAACCTCATGGACGTATGAGCAAGTCTAGCTGCTGACTAACTCTCACACCCATTTTCCTGCGAGAGACATTTTCTTTCCGAGAACTTTCACTGTGTCTGACCACTTTACACAAAGAAAATGACTGCAGGAAGAGAAAACATCAGAAGCATCTTAACCCACAGAGCTGCTGCATGCTTTATTATATAATGGCTGCTTTCGTTTCATGAGCACCAAAGGAAGTCTAAGAAACATCTTTGTTCTTGAGCACTTCACTGCCAGAGAACCGGGAGAAATAGCATCATGTGGCCAGCTGCGCTCACCTCACACACTAGTTGGAATGTGAGATTTGCAGTAAAACAAAGCTGTTTCAAGGACTTTGGGTCTTAAAGTATCTGCACAGTGATTTGGGCAAGACTGCAAATGAATTACTATATTTTGTTCCCATGAAAATCAGTTCTTTGGAATTCTCTTACAGGGTCTGGTCTAGTGGCAGACAAGTAATTAGGCCATATGAATGCCAGAGCTTTGGCAGGCAGGAGGAGGAGAGATGAAATACTTGTTTAAGACAGCTATCTCTCCTCCTTGCAGGCTCTGTCACACTGACCTCAATGTGATTACCTGGGGTTGCAGGAAGCAACTCGCCGTCTGTCATGTTCCACCAGCACAGTGCCTTAGTTACACAACAGTGACCTGGTTTCTTCAAGGCCACTCAAGCCTTAAGGACCATCAGGCCATGAGTCATAATCCCTCCAGCATTTACTCCTGAACTCAGCTCCTATTCATTTCACACCTTAGACCTTTCCATCCTTCCTTCCTTGGGATTGGGTCCCGGTAGCAGTCTGTGACCTCTGATGTTATTTTGTGTCATTGTCCATTCCACCACGGAAGGCCCCACCATGGCCACTCTGTCTCTGCTTTTCCTGAAGTCAGCCCTGCTGTCATTACTGCTGCTTTTTCTGGGATACTTCAAGTTGTGGAGAGAGTTGTTTTCCTGTGATTATAGCTCTTTCTTCCAATTTTGACTAGTCTGGCGTCTCTATGATTATAGTTCATGAGGACTCCCAAGGCTAGAAAGGGAGCTTTCTTTTTTTGTAATGGTGCTTTAATTTTTTTTCAACATTTATTTTAACTTAAAAAGAACTCAGTAGTGGTCATTAATCTCTCAGTCCAGATAACCCCTAACAGCATTTTTAGACATGAAAGCAATATATATACATGGGGAAAATATTAAACAATAAAAAAGATATAAAATAAAAAGAAAATAAAATAAAACTTCCCTCATCTGCTCCTGAATTGCTTCCCAAAATATAACCATTATAACTATTGTGTCTTCTAACAAAACTACTTTACATGAAAGAGCTCTTACTTTGTCATTCTGCATCTCAGTTTTTTCACCTAAAATGCCATTTCAGTGCACAAATGCACTATACAACTACTCCCTATATTTCACTTCTGCACTGTCTTTGTAGAAGAGCACGTGCCTTCCAAGTGAAAAGCACTCATTTAATGTCACTCCTGGTACTAAATTTCTGTCCCTTTACCACCGAGTGCAAAGTAACTGAAGATTAACAAGTTTCAAAGAATAACCTGCACATGCTGGGTTCAACTCTGTCCCTTTCTTTTTACAATTGTGTAGCCTACAGGGAGTGGCTTTCTGCCTCCCTAGAGGTAGACAAAACTGGGAACATCTGCCCAATTCTAGGTTTCCATACTAGGAAGCCTATTGGTCTCCTACTAAATAGTCAACCATATACAGTACAATATCCAACTCAACATTTATCAATGATGTGTAGGCCTTCCTCTACTACTCTTTTTATCTATCTGTTAAGACTCTGAGCCTGGAAGAAGGCTGCAGTTTGTTGGGCCTTTTCAGGATCCCCAAATATCATTCCTCATTTGGATGTATCAAAATTTATTTAGTGAGTTTCCTAATGATGGATGTTTGGGTGGCTTTCAAGTCATTGCTTGATCAAACAATATCTCAGTGAACATTTTTATATAAATACAGTGGTCTCTTGGTTCATGAACACTTTTGTTTGCAAATAATTTGGTTCACAAACAGAACGGTTTGGCAAAATTTTGTTTTTGTTTGCAAACTCTGCATTTATTTCTTGCTATGTGCCAGGTTCTGCACCAAATCCTTTAAGTGTACTCATTTTTTAATCTTCATAAACCCTTATGAGATAGTAACTTATTTTTCCACTTTTTACACTGGAGGATCATCAAACCAAAATTGATAAACAACTAGCCCCAAACCACATAACTAGTACTGTAACTAGTAGAGATGGAATTCATATCTGTGTTTCTGTGATTCCAGAACCTATATTTCTTTCCTTTTTTTGGTACCGCAGATTGAACTCAGGACCTTGCGCTTGCGAGGCAGGGGCCAGAACCACTGAGCTAAATCCCTGGCCCCCTTTTTTCTTTTTTTTTTGTGGCAGGGTCTCTCCCTTTGTAGTTCAGGCTGTCCCTGAACTCACTATGTAGCCTAGGCTGGCCTCAAACTCAGTGATCCGCCTGCCTCAGCCTCCCGAGTGCTGGGATTACAGGCGTGCACCACCATGCCCAGCTGGAAGCTGTATTTTCAACTACCAGATTAAATGATGTGCCCGGGACCTGGTGAGGCATTTAAAAACAGGAGACGACCATTGTCATCACATGTGTAAAATATAATAGTTAAAGGTATAGAATTTTTAGCCAGACTCCATGAGTTCAAATACCAAGTAGATGATGAGTACCTCAGTTTCCTCATCTGAAAACTGGAGATTTTTGAGAGGATTTAGTTACTGAATCTTTGTAAAACACTAGGGAACACTGCCTGGTATCAAGTAAGTCCCTCATAAGTGTTGGTTAAGTAAAATAAACTCTCTTATTTTACAGTTATTTTTAATTCCAAAGCAAACAAGATACATATATTGTGTATCGTAAAAAGTGAAAGTGTACCCTCTCCTTAAGCACCCACTACAACCTGACCCCACTAAAATTCACCTCCCTCTTTAGAGGTTAATAGTGCCATGTTTTCAGGCCTCATTTTATACATTTTATCTTTGTACATATACAGTTGAATTTGTATTCAACTGGGAGGTATCATTGAACAATATGTTGAACACTGCTGCTGAGTGCCATCTGAGAGAAAGGCAGGCTCATAAAAACCATTACAGTGTGTTCTCATCTGCCTTATTCACTGGATCTGGCACTGTCTGACTCTGGCTCTTCCCCAAAATGACCATGAAAGTTAAATGTTTTGAATGGATTCAGGACACTGAGGCAGCCAGGACAGCACACCTAAAGGGACTCAGGAAAGAGGACTTCCAGAACTGTTTCAGAAAGTAGCAAGAATGATAGGATAAGTGTGTTTGAAGTGAGAGGGAGATTTGGGGAGGGGGGATTAATAGCAGTGTGTCTTTTATAGTAATATACTTTTAAAAAAATTTTAACATTCACTGTATTTTTCAATCATACCTCGTACATGTTAGACAATGTCCTAATGACCTTACAAATGTAACTCATTCAATACTTAGAATAACACTATTAAAGTAGGAGTTACTTATTCCCCTTTTATTTTGGTGCTGAGGATTGAGTTCAGGACTTCCCACATGCTAGCTAAGCACTGAGCTGTATCCCTCAGCCCTTCTCAAAATTTTGTTTTGAGACAAGATTTTGCTAAATTGCCTAGGCTGTGATTCTCTTAACTCAGCTTCTGGGATAACTGGAATTACAGATGCCCACCTTTCATCCCTATTTTTACATATAGGGAAACTGAGGCACAGAGCAGTTAACCGACTTGGCCAGAGTTACACAGTAGGAAGGAGAGGGTGAGGATTCCAACCCAGGCATTCTGGGTTCCATGTGCATGCTCTTAACCCCACACCCTTTTCCTCTGTCTTAAAATATGTGACTTTCATTTCATTAAAACCCTAAGCCTCATCCTGTTACATTTTACACCCATATTGTGAAGGAGAATTCAGCCCCTTTGGAATATACTTAGGATGATATAATCTAAAGGACAACATGATTGCTAAATCACCTTGACTCCTTAAACTACCAAGAATAAAACTATCTAAGGCCTGTTTTTGACAATAGTCAGCCAGGATTGAGGAAGCTCTCAGGCCCTAGGTCTGGGCTTTCAATGTGTTGCACTGCTACATCTCCATGCCACACTGGCCTGCTGAGAAAGCTCCCAGTGCAGGGCAGCAGACACCCTTCAAATACACTAGCCTGTTTATGTTGTGCCTGGCTATGGAACAATATATTGCTAATTAGGTAGTACAAAACTCATGCAAATAATCTTTCCTTTTTCTGATTCCTGCTATGTATGAGTCTTTCTCAACTGACTTGGCCAATTCAAATTCCTAAAATGCTAAGGTTCAGAAAATCTGGTCAAAAGTTTGCCAGTAAAATATGAAACTCTCCTCTTCTGTTCTCTATCACTGTTCCCATCCCTACCCTCAAGCTACTTTAGCTTTTAGTCATGTGTACTAGATGCTTTCTTCTTCAACAATATGAGTGAGATATTTCTTTTGGAGTATGTCCAGACAATTTGGCATTAGCCACAGGGAAGCATATTTTTTTTTAATATCAGAGGAACAAAAAAAATCAAAGTAGAGCAAACTATGGGCCGGTCCTCTTTGGAAATCAGTATATATTTCCAAATGGAAGACTCTTATGAAACTCAATGGGTTTAAAATTTTTTTTTTTTTTTTTGGTACGAGGATCGAACTTGGGTCCTTGTGCCTGCAAGGCAAGCGATGGAAACACTGAGCTAAATCCCTGGCCCCGGGTTTAAAATTTTTTAAATTTTGTTTTGTTAATGGAAATATCTATATGCATATAAATGTAATTTAATATTCTGGAAAGTTCTTGTATTAAAATAAGAATTTATACTTTCGTTTCAAAAGTTATTTCTCATTCTAACATACTAAATCCTACATTTATTTCCATTTATAACTTAACATCTCTCTCTCATTTATGTTCTTACAGAAAGAAAGAACTTAAGGCCAATCTTCCACCCATCCTGAAGCTTGACTTTTGGCTCAAGGAGCTTCCTGTCTTGTTCCAGCTGTGACATGTTGAAAGTAGACCTGGAAATTTCAGACAATTTTCTATACTCTGTGAGCCTTTGCTGTGGCTCTAGCCCTTTGGATTTTAGGAAATAGGATAGATGGAGAGGAAATGGGGTTAGGCCCTGATAGGAAGAGAGAATGGGGCCTTCTCAGGATTCTTTTCTACTCCTTTGCTGTTCACATCATCTAAGAGAACAAATTGCCTTGCCTACATATGTTTAATCCAACTCTGCTCACAGGGAGGTAATTGGGAAGGAGAGGCCTGGGTTGGGTGGGACAAAGAGCTTGTCATATCCTTGATAACAGTGCACAAACCTGGAAGTTGAATTCGAGAAACTATTATCTTAGCAGAATTGCTGAAACCAGAGACAGAAGTTGATTACAATAGAGATGATCCATTTTTCATTAAGCTATCAAGTAGGGCTGGGTATGTAGCTCAGTGGTAGAGCACATTGCCTAGCATACACAAAGTTCTGGAATCAATCCTCAGAACTACTAAAATGTAAAATAAATAAATAAAATAAAATAAAATAAATTTAAAAAATAAAATAAATCATTAAGCTTTTTTAAAATTAAAAAATTGGTCATCATGCCCTTCTGTCCCAATATCATCTAGCTATATCATCTAGTGGCAGCTGAAGTAACTCCTGGCCCTTGCTAAAGAAATAGACCCAGCTGCCATGTTTTGCATCATGTGATCCTGGTCTTGATTTCCTAGCTGATTGGACCAGAGTTGGGCACCTGATTCAAGGGCAGTCAGTCCATAGATCGGCTAGATTCCTAGGACCCATAGTGAGATGTAAAGATACACTGGGCCAGTCAGAGTCTCAGTCTCTGTTTCTCTCTCTCTCTCTCTCTCTCTCTCTCTCTCTCTCTCTCTCTCTCAAACAGAGAAGAACAGAGAAGTTGCCAGCTAATAGCAAAGCTGAAAGGATTACGGCCGAGCTATACTTATAATGGCAAAATAGTGAAGATCTGTGAAATTTTTAATTGATGAGGTCTGTACAGCCACCTCAAATTGACAACTAGCTTTCAGTACTAGTTTCTCTGAAGTCATCTCATTATGGTCCCTGTTCTTGGGTTTCTGAAAGCTTCCATTATCTCATGTACTTTTCTTAACGTTCTTACACTTGAGTGAAATGGAATGAGTGACAGATACTTGCAGCCAAAATAAAGCCAAACAAAAGCATTATCCAATAGGCAAGCAAAACCAGTCAAAATACAGGGGACTGAGGAACCAGGAAAGTCTAAATCAGAGGTAATAGAAGTAGGTGACTTTGTTAAGGCTCATGAGGTTGTAAATAATATTACCGAAGCCAACTCAAGTTGATAGAAGGAGTAGGTGGGGAAGAGGAGGAGAAAAGAAATTTGTGTATCCAGGTAAACAATAATGAAATAGCTCAAGAGCATCCAGGACTCTTTCTTTTTCAGTACCAGGGATTGAACTCAGGACCTTGTGCTTGTGAGGCAGGCGTGGCACCACTGAGCTAAATCCCTGGCAGGATTCTTAAAAACCATTGCCAGGGCCAGGGATTTAGCTCAGAGGTTTCACAACCTGCCTTGCAAGTGCAAGGACCTGAGTTCGATCCCTGGTACCAAAAAAAAAAACACAACAAAAAACCATTGCCAGACATTTCCTCAAACTATTAACCATCAAGTTGTTACCCAGCATTTCCACCCATATGAACACATATGTGCATACAACAACTTGTATCTACAACAATTTGCACACCAATGTTCATAGCAGCATTACTCATAATAGGCAAAAATGGAAATAACTCAAATGTACATAAACTGATGACTGGTAAACAAAATACGATGGAATACTATTTGGGTATAAAAAGAAGTTCTAGTACATACTGAAAAATGGATAAAATTTGAAAATGTAATGCTAAATGAAAGAAGGTCAACAGAAAAAGCCATCTATTGTATGATTCCATTTATATGAAATGTCCAAAATAGTCAGATGCGTAGAGACAGAAAATAGATTAGCAGCTGCCAGGGGCTGGACAGACTGGAAAATGGGAAATGACTGCTAATTGAGCCCAGAGTTTCTTTGGGTGGTGACGGTGATGGTAGGGGTGGCAATAGTGTGTGTGTGTGTGTGTGTGTGTGTGTGTGTGTGTGTGAAAATGTTCTTGAATCAGATTTTGGTAATGTACATCTACAAATACATTAGAAACTATTAAGTTGTACATTTTTAAAAGTTCCTCCTTGGAATTATTCAGCTGTACATTTTACCACCCCTTCATAGGGTTACTTGCATGCTTAAGAGATGAGCTGTGCTCACTTAAAGACACTACAATGATGGACACAGGAAGGTGCTTAAGTTACCAAGGAGTTTCACCAAGATATGTCTCCCCCTGCAGTGGTGCACGCCTGAAGTTCCAGCTACTTGGGAAGCTGAGACAGGAGGATCAGTTGAGCCCAGGAGTTGGAGAGCAACTTGAGTAACATAGCAAAACATCTCATGCAAAACAAAATGTCTCTATTTTTATGTCAAAATGACTGCTTTTATTTACCTGCACAATAGTCTTAATTTAGCAATTTTCGCTGTGGAATAGCACCAATATTCCTACAAAGAGAGCTCTCTGGCAGCCCTCAGAGTGAGTTTGTTCTTAATTTTATAGTTTCTACTTGGGAGGCAAGATGAAATAATCCATCCTTTGGCAGCGTGATTGAAGGGAAGCCTTCTCTCTAACTCTCTCAAGTTGACATCTACAAGTAGGCTTCCTGACTCTGGGTAAATGCCTACTATGACACACTACAGTACAGTGACCATGACTTTTTAAGTGGCAGTGGAACAGGACTCAGAACCCAACATTCTCATTGTTTCCACCTTTTAAACAACAAATATCATCCTGAGGAATATCAAAGGAAAATTAGGAAGGGAGTGCGGGAACCATCTATAAGACCACACTATAATAATGCGCCCAGAACATGAAGGGTTTCCGGGCTGTACTCACACTCACACAAGCTGACCTGGCTTCCCTCACTTCAAGTGAGCAGCTCAGAGACCTCAGTGCCCGGGGTGGGCAACAATTCGTAGGCCACAGTCCCCACTGAAACATCTACCCTCTGGTTGACCCTGCTCCCAAATGGAGGAAAGTGGGTCAAAGAAAACATTTGTGCAAACTATCCAGTTGGCATATTTTAAGGGAAGCAGTTTTTCTCTGACTTCAATAATTTGTGGAAAGTAATCCCTTAGAGCTCTGTTCTGCAGCTTAGGCATTTCCCATCACAAATCCTCTACTGAGCAGATATGAAAACTGGACAAGAAGTATAGTTACATCTCCTGGGTCATAATTAAATCAAGAAAGAACCTAGACTGACCTTGGGAATTTTCTTTTACTTGTCTTTGACAACATGGTTCCTGACTACCAAAGCAGCAGGGGTCGAAAACACTGAGCTAAATCCCCGGCCTATAGTACTATTTTTTAAGCAATCTTTTTCACTTAATAAAATGCAAACATTTTCCCACCTCATTAAACATTTTTTACAGTATGATTTGTATAGCTTCATGGTGTTCCAACCTATAGATACAGCATAATTAGTTATCAATGACCCTCTGGTTGCACCATCAAAAATAATATTATGATGGGGTTGAGGATTTAGCTCAGTGGTTCTGGTGGCTGCTTCGCAAGCACAAGGTCCTGAGTTCAATTCCTGGTACCAAAAAAAAAAAATAATAGTATTATGAGAAGGCTTACTAGTAGACAAATCTTCTCATATAGCTCTGACTATTTCCTTTGCGCTTATTCCTTAATGTGAAGTTGCTGACTTAGAGGTCGTCTTTTTTTTTTTTTTTTTGGTAC